TGTCTCCCTCGACCCCCCGCTCGGGGGTGTTTTCCCCCCCCCCCCCTCCTCTCAAAACCCGCCCCCGCGAGGCAGGGCCAACACTCCCCCCCCCCCTCCCCCCCCCTTTAAATGTAGCTCTAGAAACACCCGACTTCTGTTCACGGGCTCAACAACGCAACCCCCGAGGTCCGGTGTTCGGATCCAGTGACCCGTTTCACACCCATACCTAAACCAAAGGGCGCAACTCTAAATTGGAAAAAGAAAAGAAGAAGAAGAAGAAGAAGAAGAAGAAGAAGAAGAAGAAAAAAGAAAGGTCTAAGAGCTCATACCTGTAAGTGGTATAAGCATGGCTGAGAGGGAGGGATGGGAAGATATATAGAGACTTCGGGTGCTGGACTAAAAAAAAGGGCTGCGTCCTTGATCTACTGTTTATTGCAGCGTGACAACCACAGGAATAGATAGATGGATGGGGATGGGTGCATATAAATCCAGCAGCATGTCCCAAAGCCGGTTTGTCGCACCGAGCAGCCAGCCAAGGGAAAGCTCCGCACGCGAGGAAAACAGGGTTTTTCTCGACTACGGGAACATGGCATTTCCAGCCGGCAACCAGGCAACGAGAAAGGTTTCTTCTATATTTTCTTCTTTATTTTCGTCTTCTCCCAAGGGATTCTTGCTTCTCTGGTTGTGCCAGAGAGGGGGGGGGGGGGGGGGGGTTGGGTGGTGCTGCTCTAATGTGAATGTGCATCCTTGCGATGTTCCCGTGCAACGGACCATAACTACAAGGAGAGCTCCCATGATATATGATTGACAGCAGGGATCACAACCAATCTTATGCCTGATATATATATATATATATATATATATATATAGATAGATATATAGAGATATATATATAGATAGATATATAGAGATATATATATACCTACCTACCTACCTACCTACCTACCTACCTACAAGGGAAGGGTTCCGCGCATTTAAATCTCCTCCTCCTTCCCTTCCCACCATCCACCACCATCAGAAAGAGACGCAAACCAGCCTCACGTGGCTGGCTGCGCACGAGCCTCCCTCTCGGCTACCCCAAACAGGTTAGCTGGTTGCACCCCAAAGTGGCTTAGCAGACAAAGATGTGTGCAAAAGAGGCTAGACGGGGGTCGCGTGATCGGAGGGCGCGGAAGGGCGGTGAGGAGGGAAGGAGGAAGGAGGAGGAGGAGGAGGAGGAGGAGGAGGAGGGAGACAACGGCTGTGATTGGCCGCCGTTGGGTGGGTGGGTGGCTGGCTGGCTGGGTGGCTGGCTGGCTAGCAAGAGGCACGGGACTTGGTTTTCATGTGGCTTGGCAGGACACGGGACTTGGTTCATGTGACCCGGCAGAGAGGGAAAGGGGGGAGAAGAAAGGAAAAAAACGCTTTGATTTTACTATATTCCAACATTCCAACTAGGGGGAGGATGGATAGAGCAAACTAGCTGGAAAACCCCACTGGTTCCTGGTTAGTGGGTTTGGATAGAGAAGGGATGGCTGGATTTTTTGTGTCGTGGGAGTTGGTGGAATTCGAGGCGTTGGATCAGGAAATTGGGTGTAGAGGGCAGACACGGGGGAGCAGAGTCGGGGGATGTTACTACAGACAGAGAGAGTATAGTCTGCAACAGCTTCTGATGTCTGCGTAGGTTAGGGATGGATGGATGACAGTAGTAGCTTAGCTGTTGTTTGTGTGGTGGTTTGCCTTAGTTGTTGCATTATTAGTTAGTTAGTTAAACAAACTAGTTAGTTAGTAGGTAGGTGTCTTAATAAGCGAGAGCCCTTTGGCCTCTCTTCCCCCTTGCGCTCACTTCTTCCCCTTCTTCCCTCTTCCTTATTCCTCCCACTCGACTCCTCGCCACGTGATTCACTCGTGCCCTTCGCCCTTCGCCCTTCGCCCCCTTCGCCGGTCGCTCCGTCGCTCGACTCTCGACTCTCGACTCTTGGACTCTTGGACTCTCTCTGTGATATCAGTCCCTCCGCAAAATCACCACTTCGTCCCCGCGCCCCTCTCTCTCCCACCCCCCTTTTTATTTATTTATTTATTTTTTTTTTATATTAAACTGGTCGGTTTATTTACCAAATTTCTCCCCTCTTCTCCTCGGCTCTTCAGACCACGCTTCCCCCCCCCCCTTCCCCCCCTTTTGTTACATTTTCTTTCCATTACGGATTGTGCCCAATCCTTTCTCTTCGTCCAAAGCATATCTATAGGAGCTTTGCTCCGTCCCAGTTATCGAGAAAAGCAGGTGACCTCTTGTCACCTGATAAAACAAACAAAACAGTAAGAAATCGTTGTTCATCCATCAGCATCAGCATCAGCATCAGCATCATCTCTCCATCATCATCATCATCATCATCATCATCATCATCATCATCATCATCATCATCATCATCATCATCATCATCATCATCATCAGCAGCAGCAGCAGCAGCAGCATCAACATATCCGCATCGTCATCGTTGGCTTCAACCTCTTTATCCATCAACTTCATCATCCCCATCCCCCTCTTTACATAGTCCCGGGTGACGCGTCACTGCTCCTGTTTGCTGTTTCTGTATCCTTCATTTTGGCCATCATTGTCGCGTCTCCCTTTTTTTTTATTTATTTTATTTTATTTTATTTTATTTTATTTTATTTCTTTCCTCTCTTTTCAAATCTCTTCAACCTCATCCTACATCTTACCATGCCGTGTATATCTCCATCATCTACCATGCGCATATCTTCTTCCCTCCCACCATCACTACATCTTAACCCGGATCCCATTCCATAACACTCCCACTCTTGCATCGCGTTCTATCCATCTCTGGCTTGCGCCTACGATGGCTCTGCCCTTTCCCCTCTCCTCCGTGCACACTTTTGCTGCGACCGCGTCTACCAGACAACAGCGCGTCGGTTAACCCTCTTCTTCTTCTGTTTTTATCTAGGCTCTAGGCTCTACTGGATAGGAGAGGAGGATCCATCCAAGATCCCCCGAAAAGCTCCGGGCTGCCGCTGTCTGTCGGGGTTCGCTCCAACATCAACCCAGCCAGCCTGGCCAGGCAGTAAAGAGTCAGTCCCTCTCTCTCTCTCTCTCTCTCTCTCTCTCTCTCTCTCTCTCTCTCTCTCTCTCTCTCTCTCTCTCTCTCTCTCTCCTTCTCTCTCTCTATCTTTCGCACTTTCTTTGTGTTGAAAAAAAAAAAAAAAATACCATTTCCAATATTCTCATTTACCTCTCCTCTCTAGTCTCTCTCAATTCCCCCTGATCCAGTTGTTCGCCAATGTCAACATGACTCCCCTGTAATAATCTACATTCACCTGTATCTTCCATATCATTGCACTTCATCTAATCTCCTACTACCAACGACAGACTCAGAGTCGTTTCCTCAGATTTCCTTATTGTCATTCATTCCCTTTCTCTCGTTGATC